TCGACGCGGCGATGAGTAATCAAGCCGAGCGCCAAGGCTAGGCAGGGGGCGCATCGTCGGCCGGTGGCCGTAGCACACGGCAATGCGAAAAGTGCACGCGAGAGTGGACGCGAGCGACGCGCGGAGCACACGCGGCGCCTCGGCGCGGACCCCCCTTGCCTCCTGCCGTCGCACGCGCTTAGCTGCGACTCTCATTGTTCGCAGCAGCGACAATGCCCCGCGCCAAGAGCCTCTCTTTTTGCATGGGCACGTCTTTTCTCCTCGGGGAAAGAAATAGGTGCAGACACAGCGCGATGTTCTCTTTTTCTTGTCTCGCGCTCGCGCAAGTATTAATCATTCATTCGGCCGTACTGACCCGGAAGCTCGCGCACCCGCTCCTACCCCACCCACGTCTCCGCCGCACCGTGGCACGGCGGCTCATTCAGCCAAGAGTAATGCTTCTTCGACTTTCCGACTCTGCGCGAGCGCTTTGACCGGTTCAAATGATATGAGCTCGTGAATTTTCCACGCCCGGCTGCCATCGAAACTCCCTTTCCGGCTCTCACTCTCACTCTCTCTCTCTCTTCTTCTATCTTTCTATTGCAAGCTGCTTTAAATCCTGTCATATGAGTTGTCACGAATTTCTGGATCATTCTCGTACAGCCATGTAAATTTGATGCTCTGGCAAACGCATGCGCGAGTTGAATTATATTCGAGCGCGACAAACAAACTGCGAAGTAATCCTCTCTCATGCATGAATCGAAAACTAATCAGAGGGGTAGAGAGCGAACTTGCTTCACTAGCCGTTCGTGGTATCCGAGTGGGAAGCTCAATGTTTCAGTGCTTGGCGAACGTACAGAGCAACAAGAAAAAGAGCTCGCGCGCTCGTGAATTCGTAACGAGACGCGATGTCGAGTCAGCATCGTAACAAGTTGCACGTCGCGAGACGAACGAGACGGACGAGATCGCGCGGAACAAATGTCATCGCGGGCCGCGGAGTCAATTGCGCGTTTGCGGGTAGCGGCGTTGGACGGAAATTACGGAGACGTTCTTTCAAAGCGGCTCGACGTCGTGAGGCGCGTGGCGCGACGTCTTGGCGTCTCGCGACCAAAAGGTATGATGCGCTACGCCATGCCTATTTGCATATTCAGCTGTGCGCTCGATATTCCCGCGATGTCATTGGTGCCACGCTCTCTCTCTCTCTCCCTCTATCTCTCTCCGCGGTCCTACGTGCAGCCGTAATTGCTGCTGCCAACACGGCGCGGGCCGGAAATCTCTGGCACGCCGATCGGCAGCGAGGGATCAGCGAGCGCGCTGTGCGCCGATTTTCAGTCTTACGCGCCGTAGGCACGCGTCCGTTTTAATTAATATCGTGCCCCCCCCCCCCCCCCGACACGCTTGAGAAGGCTTTGTCGACGTGGCAAGAGCAAAAGCCGCGCCGCCGCACTCGTCGGCTCGCAAAGCGTTTGGCCCGATCGTGCGCTTGAGCGTTCTTTGGGGGCGCGCGCGCGCGCTCGTGTTGCGTAAAGACTGCTTTTGCGATCAGCCGAGTATCGCCGTGCTTTCATCGCCGTCCGCGTCGATTTCATTCCCGAGAGCCGAAAGTCGCTTCGTCAAGGTGAACGTTCGCCAAATTTACGAGGCGCTAATCGTGAGATATTTAGATTTTCTATTTCCGCTAAGCAAATGACCGAAGCCATAAAGCAGCTCGAAACACGGCGATGCTTGTCGAGATACAACGACTCGAGTGGCGCAAGCGACGGCGGGGTATATTGAGTGTCTATTAACCTCGGAGCTGTTGATTAAAAAGTCACTCTCGATATTAAAACATCGCAGCGCGTAAAAGTTAAGTTGGTGTTGGTCGCGGCGATGAAAGTTTATCGTTTTTCTAGCGCCCGCGAAAGCGCGAGGAAGAGAGAGAGAGGGTGGGGCCAGTGTTGGTGCTAAATTCATCAGCTGCGTGCTCTGGCCATTGACCACGGCAAATTCTATTTTCCGCGTTGGTGGGACGAGGAAGGAATAACCGAGGGGAGGAAGTGATGTCGGTAAATCAATTATCGCCTTGAGCGCAAATTTTATAGTCTCTCGTTGAAAGACTTTGGCTCGGGTATTTCATAATTTCTCACGGCGATAAAATGGAGTCAATAAAACGGGCGAAGAAAGAACCGCGTGGCTCCTGTATTTACATCGCGTTTGAGGCCGATGCAACGTGTTTTCACTGATTCAATCTCCGACGCTTTGCGTGCGCCGCCACCATCGCCGCCGCCATTTGCTCTGCACTGGACGCGCCTGTTTCAGCGCGACTTTTTCTCGCGCCGCAGGAGGGAGGCAAATTTTCCATTTGCCACTAGCACAAATACAACGAGGACGATGACGACGTCGTCGAGAGCTGGGAGAAAAAATAATAAAGTTTTTCTTCGCGCCGCTGCGCCTCTTTCGCCCCCTCGATTTTCCTGCAAGTCAAAAGCACTCGGGCTCGAGTCGACTGCGTAATGGCTGCTACCGGTCAATTATTTGCCATGTGAAACGAGCGCGTAACGAACGAGTGCGCAACGCCGAAGAACTCTGTCAATTTTTTCCTTGAACTATCACCAGTGTAGCCGGGCGTGCGCCAGTTATTTTCTTTCCAAATTAATGTTTGTCGGTAAATAAATGTCAACGCTCTCATTCTCTCGGGCCCGATGCAAACAAACGCGCGCGCAAATTTGCATTGGCGAGCGGGCGAGCGCTTGCCGCTGTCGCATTGAAAATTCATAACAATTTCGAAATTAAATCGAATATCCGGATGCACTCTGGAATGTCGTGTCTGGCAAAACGCCGCGGCGCGCAAATGCGTCCAGAGCATTTGTCGAAAAAGCATTACGCGCAAGCCCGCCGCGTAAATGATGAATCGCGGGCTGTAAAAATAACAATTGTCGTTGTACACTCGGCGCAATCAAAAATCCTTTGGGCTCTCCGGGAGCGGCGAAAAAATAGAAAGACACATCGGGCTGCGCTGATGTGCGCGCATTTTCTTCGCTGGTTACTGTTATCGTTATTGTTACTTCGAGTGCTACGTTCGTTTTCAACACTGCAGAGGTACACTACTAGTTGTTCGGGTGTCGGTAGACGTTAATATTGGTTCCCTATAATCACGAAAGCCTGTGGAAGGCCAATTTTAACATGCATCATGTTTGCACCTACGATTCGTGGGGTATAGATGAGAAGGAATGATAGAGAGAGAAAGAGAGAAAACTACATACAAGTGATATGGAAAATGGGCCGGGAATAATTAGGCTACCGTGGAATTACAATTTCGGCAAATTCTGTACTTTCTATTGATAAAGGACTGGCGAAGCTCCGAAGATATTCTTTAATTTCAATATTGGTCCAAGTTCAATATGTTCCACGTGAAAAATGCACTGGCGGGGCTTTGATACATAGAATTCTGCGAGGCTGTTAAATTAAATCCACGCGCGAAAACGCAACTCTAGGCTATACACAGTAACGTTATGAAATCCGACAACGCCATGCACTGGCACATGCGATCCCCTTTCCAGAACGCTCGTCAACATGCCGCACACCTGATAAATGCAACCGAAGTAGCTGTATTCCAGTCAGCCACCGGCTGCAACAAAAAGAGAACCGAGGCACAAGAACGGGCTCCGCGGGCTCCGTCAAAACACATCCATCGGATCCGTCTCTGGGGAAGGCAAGCAGCGGAGTAAAAAGGGAAAGAGCCGCGCGATAGACTTGCTGCCATTGCTGCCAGATTCGGTGAATAATGCAGCTGAGCCCGGGCCAAGCCGCTGCGCGCGCGCGAGCAACCGGCACAAAGGCCACGCGCGCTATCGTAGGTGCAGTCACACGGCGCTAGCCAGGGCCTGTGACACCGTAGAGTCAAAGCGCGCGCGAGAGGCGACACGAGGCAGCGGCGCAGCGAACAGATCCGCAATAACAAGACCACACGCTCGCGCGAACCAACTGACAAGCTTGCTGAATTAATTTTGCAGCCACTTTCGTGCTCGCGCAGATCGAATAGTTGTCGCGCGAGTTTACAACAAGTTGCCTCGTCAAATTTTCAATATCGCGCGCGCACCGCGATTATGCGAGATTGGCCATACACGCCGCACTTATTAGAATGATCAAAGGAAAATTACGCAAGTTTTATGTGCGTTGGCCTTTCAGCTCTGAACCCGCCGATTCGACGTTCACCTGCGTCGCTTGTGATAAATATTGATGCTTGTAACGTGGCTTTAGCGGCCGTTTTCAGTGCACACGATCGACATTTATGACCCGCCGACTGATACATGGCCGTACCTCTGCATTACTTTCGATATCTTTTTGCTTTTCCTTCATCGACTTCGTCGCGCGATACACTCAAAGCACGAAATATTCAAACGGATAAATACCGGAATATAAGTTCAATTTTAGAACTCATCTGTGAGCACAAAGGATCGATTAGTCGTGGAAAGAAGGAAGTAGGAGGCGATCATCAATCGATATTCATGGCTCTAACGAATGATGAATTTAACGGAGGCGACGTAGCTAGCTGAGAGGGAGACGAGAGAGAGAGAGAGAGAGAGAGACGTCCGATCACGGATTGGACGCATTAGCCATCGTGGTGCAGCCAACCAGCCACACGTTCGGGACAGGGGGAGGAGGGACAAGATGATGCCGAGGCGAGGAGAGGCAATACACGCCCTAGCGAAATGGCCTCGCACTGCTGGCTAATGGATAAATCGATGTATGCATCGATCGGCTTCAATTCGTCCGGCAGCAAGCACAATCCAGCAGACGCAACGCTATCGCAGCGGCGCCGAGCAGCAAGTGAACGCCTGTTTTTCTTGTTAAACTTCTGGTGGTTGAATTCAGCTCGTTACGGCGCGGTAATTGAAATGCCGCCGCGCCCTCGGCCAGAATTTCACTTACCAAATTCAAACTTGATCAGGCCAACGGCGCGGCAGGTTACTCGATGCTTATACGTATGAATACGAAAGTGGAAGGGACCGGCGAGAAGCGAATACTGGCCGACTACTCACCCATTGCCGGAGCGTAGATGTTGAGGTAGAGGCAGTCCTCGCTCTGATTGCGTAAGTGCGGCAGTATCCTTTTCAGGTACTCGACTCTACCCCTGGGCATCCGCTCCAGAGCCTCCTGCTCCAAAGAGACATCCGGAAGCTTCTGCGGACACACCGGTCCCACCTTCTCCGCCAATCTGCGCGATACATGTCACGCATCACTTAACATCATGCGTCTCCAATTCATCAGCCAAATGTTGAGATAGCGCTTGATTGGGAACTCGTGTACTTTGGGAAAAACGTCGCGTACGTTCGGGACATTCGCGTCTCAAATACTAATTCTATTTGAATGCGTTTGCTCTACTCCAAGTTGAGTTTACAGTCAACACAACGAATGTCCGAAATCGAAAAAAAGTTCGACCAACGATTGTCCCGACGATTTAAAACGACCAACGCGATCAGCAGCGAAAATCTAAATCGTTTATTCAATTTCCACGCTGTATAGAAATATTTTCCGATAAAATTCTGTTCAGCTTAATGTCTAGCAAGGTTAGCGAAAAAACTAAGACGTCACAATCATTAATCTCTGGTAAAACCAACCGCGCTTGGGCGCATTAAGAGAGAAAAAAGAAGGAGAACATCTAGGAATATCTAATGAAGCCTTGGAGCTTCGTAGGGCTTAACCTACAGTCGTCGGAGCATTAAAAATGAGGCAACCCTGCCACATTCACTCGACCGCGGGAACACGGGAATCTCGACTAGCTCCGAAAAATTTACTCCCACTATCAATAACCAGCTGAAGAAAAGAAGTGGTGGAAGGAAGCAGAGGGAAAAAAGAACGAGAAACGCGCGAGCGGCTCGCGAAGAACAAAGGAAGGAGGAGAAAAGGAGTAGGGGAACGACGCGAGGAGAGCAAAGGCGACGTAGCGGGTAGCGCTATGATTAATGACTCACTTGTTCCCGTCCCAAGGGCTTAGCGCCCTCGTCGGCGAGAAGCGATTGCCACCCGTCGGCGGCGTCGCGTACGGCACACCCAGGTACACGTCGATCGGCTTGAGGTACTTGGCGTTCTCGAACGACATTACCAGTCCTTGAATCTTGCCGTACCTGCAACCCAGAACCAGTCAACTTTTTACCTCCTCGGCCACTTGCTGTTTCTTGAGCGCTCGGTCGTCCTTCGTTCTTTTCCGTACGCTGGCGCCTCTCGAAAGCTTTGAAAACTAATGCTCCAACTACGAGCTTAAAGCTCTTTTGTGCAGATCAGATTACTTTGAAGCAGCCAGCTCGCGCTCATTAGTTTAATTACATTTGGAGAGATGGGACACGGCATTACTACTAAAATTGACTTTCTACGACTGCATGTGCGCTTCATCCTCGATATTTTAAAGCTTGAAAAAGTGACTATTGAAAGCGAAATGTTTCCGAGAGTGTTTGACTAGGAAGGTGAGAGTTAAATTCAAAAACTTGCGAAAGTGAAGCAATGAAAGGATGACGGAACTACTTAGAGACTGTCATTTTCAAGGAAGTTTCACTGAAATCATGCTGCTGTTTGATTACCTCGTGGGAACGACGCGTGGATTAGGTTTGGTCTTGGTTACGAGTGCCTCCACGGTTCTGGGCGTGGCAAGAGCAGCCACTACGAGGGCGATGATGGTTGCGATGACGGTCAGCTCCATGCTGCGTGGATGGGCGACGTCGCCCCCTCCCCGGCGGGGCCACGGCCTTGGCCGAGGAGCAGGCCCTCCTCGGGGACCAGCTTGTCTCCAGGAAGCTACACTTCACCTTGTCATTCGATTGATCTGACTCGCAGCTCGATTAATTTCCTATATCCGGTCTTGCTGCTGCTGCTGCTGCTGCTGCCGCTCTTCCTTTTTCTGCTGGTTTTTCTGCTGATGCTTCTTCTGCTTCTGCTTCTGCTGCTCTGAAGCCTCGTTAATCCAATTAAGCCGTCGCATCGTCGAGTGCTCCCTTAGATTTTTCTCCTCTCCAAGCTGCTGCCACTGCCGCTTCCTCCGACTGCTGCCAATTCCTCCTGCGAGCTAGAAAGAGGTAACTATTTCATTAGCGCGTTCGAGTGTGCAAGCGACGCTTTATTCCGACTTCAATTAAGATTGCCGCTATAACTTTTCTTCTGATGACGATATTTTCCGCAATGACCATTAAATCGCCTTTGATCTTTCTACGGCAAATACTCGCGCGATTTGCCGTCGCGAGAGCCGAATACGTAGGTCGAGTGCCAATTGTATTGGCATTGTACTTGTTTTCGCGAAGACGAAGAGAAACGAATTTCTTTTGCATGTAACTCGGCAAAAAAATATGATTTCGCAAGAGAGCGGCAACTTACACAAGTACGCGCGTCGCAATTTATGCAAGTTGAAGCTCTACCGGTAGCTCGCAACAATGTCGTATCTTATGAAGAGAGCTCGCTCGCGCGAAATCGCGCGTGCATGAAACTTGAACGCGAAAATTTTCGCGGAGAAAAGAAAATATCGTTTAGATTATCGTTCGGAATACGCTAAGCTCTCGCCGCCTCTCCTTCAAAAACTTTCTCAAACGCCCGTGCCGCGATAAAGCATGACAGTTCGAAAAGTTAATATCTTGATGCACCAGCGGCCGCGGTGGCGTCGTGCCGCCTCGAGCCAGGAAAAAATCATCCTTTTGGCGCGCAAGCGGCTTTCGAATCGCATCTCAAATACGTCACGTTGCACCACCGTCACGGTGAAACTTCGGCGATAGCCGATATGATTTTTTTGTTGGCGATATCGTACGCAAATTCGAACCTACGTCCGGAGTTTCTGGCCAACGACAACACGAGGCTTTAACCGGCTACTCCAAATTCGTTTTCATTTGAATTGGACTCAAACAGAGAATCACTCAAAATCTACATCAACTCTCGACCTAAACAAAGTCCAACTTTCGCAAAGTTCCTAATTAAATTGAGGGCTACATTTCATTAGATCAAGTGATCACTGCCAGTTACAGGAAACGTTTTACGCACAATTCTCTGCGAGGTTTGCGCTCTCCTGGAGCGTATAGTGCCGTCGCGAGACGCAAAGCAGAAAGAACGACAAGAGGAGCGGGGGCTTGGGGCGCGGGGTCGGTAATGCTCGAAGTGGGCTTCCGTCACGTGCCGCTTCTGATACATTAGCACTGATATTCGCCGGCACTCGCAGGTTTTCGCTAGGTGCGCACGAGTTCTTGGAAACTGTTCGCCTTGCCTGTCGTCAGCGCCTTCCACGCGCTCTCGGCTCTGTTTGCGCGCCCAAAAGGCTCTTCTCGCTTAATGAATGATACCCGATCTCACGGATTTTATGACGCACTATGCGCTCGACTTTGCGGCGGCTCAGCAGCAAGGATCCAAGAAAACAATTTTCCAGGGCCTTCACCCAGCTCGTTAAGCGATGTACGTACTACACTTTTAATAGATTCGCAGGCGCGTTTTGGAATCGATCGAGCGACAAGTTTGTTGGCTTTGTTCCAGACTTGAAGCAACTGCAGTGCATGAAACAGAGAGCGTGAAAAACATTGACGACGTAAACAGCACTTGGAGCGTTCGTAAACGAGAGAGGAACACTTGTAGGTTGACATTGGCGAAGTTTCATCACAACATCCACGGATAGTGGACTCCTGTTCGTTATCTAGCGCGCATAAAAGATAAAGTTTTTCCAGCGCGTCGACGACAACAAGTAGTAGGGTGAGGGTTCTGGGCGTACACATAATATTTCCATCATGCGCGCTCTCAGGGACGACAGTGTCGCCGGCTGCGGCGGAGGTTGCCGCCAGTAAATTCATAGTCGCATAGTTGTCTGGGCTGGTACATAGGGGCTAAAGGAGGCACGTGGGTCGACATACATTTAGCCATGTAAATGCCGTACGTGCCTGGGCATGTGTTGATGCGTCGACGTCGCGTAGTATAACGAAGTCTCGTCGCGCTCGAGACTCGCTGCCTCTTATCCCTCGGCCTCGCTCTCCTGGGTGTTTTGTCTAATGAGCCGCGCGCGCAAAGCCTTGAGTGGGTACGCCCTTACTTGTGCGTATGCCGTGTGCCCCGCGGCGCTGTTTTTGCTTTTTCTCGCGCCGAGATTTGTCGGCCGCAGTAGCGCCCCGTTCCGATGAATAAACAATGGGTATAACTTTGTTGCGCGTGCCACAAGCGAATCAATTTCCCATGGACGCGCGTCCTCGTATTTTAGTCTTCATTACGAATTCACGCCGCGCTGCCCCTAAAGCCCCCTCTCCCAAATGCGAAAGGATCAACTCGAGGCTCTTTGCGCGTGTCGCGCGCGGCGGATTCGCAGGCGAAGCTACTAGACGACTGGCCACGGCTTTCCCGCTGGCCAGCTTTGGCTCCCCACGTCGAGTCCACTATTTTGAATGCCCTGTTTACGCGCTAGCCAATGATCCGGGCAACCAGTTTGCCCATTGAGGGCTACAGTCCAGTTCCGCCGTGCTCCGCTCTGCTGCCTTATTGATGAGATTTGCAATTTCACCTTGGCTGTGCTTGTTTCACGAACTCCATAACACTTTCATGCAGTCAGTGCGGATCTTTGCGGATTCCCCACGCAAACGGAAGTGGCGTGGAGCGCGGTTGTTCGCGTTTTCTCAAGTCGTTAGCAAACGCGAGGGGGTGGCTGGTCCCTCGAGCCAGCTCGCATGAAATTAAAAGGAGGAAGAGAGGAAAGAAGAAAGAGAAGACGCGGAAGAAGAGGGGCGACTGTGCGAAGAAAAAAAGAGACGAGATGTACGAAAGAGTCTCCGAGAATAAGCAGAGCTTGGGTCGAGTGAGGAAAGCTCGAGCGCATCGCGGGCGCACACTCGCGTCGAGTTCATTAATCGTCCTCCCGTTGTCATCGAGCGCGCGCGCTCCATTAATCGACGCGCGCACGCGAATAGTGCTGACGCTGCGCCGGCTGCTTGACGAGGCGGTGTTTTCATCGTTTCCGTGGCGACTTTGAGCGAGCGCTCGACGCACCGCGCGGTCGCGCGACGTTTTTTTCGGTCGGCCCTTGCCAGCGCTGCGAGAGCGCTGCGAGAGCGCTGCGAGAGCGCTGCGGAAAGCAGAGAGGAGAGTAGGACAAATGACATCGTCCGATCGTACGCTTACTATTTTACTGTTTTCGAATCGAACTTTTACTTTTTTTTACGGGAATCGCTTTATTGTTCCGCTGCGCCGTGATAGCACATATCGAGCGGGAGGCAGCGTCGTGGACGTAGATCTAGTACATTCGACTTGTTGAATAAAAGAGTAACGCAAGTGAATAGAGATGAGACGAACGGAGCGACACAGCGAATTTCGATAGTGATTCCAAGCTCTTAAGGAGCTCGCAACAATGGGCTCGTCAAACTTTTCCGGTAGGTCGCGTGGTCGAACAATGCCTGCATTCAAGAAGCGTGCACGAGGAGCCGCGCGCGCACCCGTCCGATCTGAGTGTTAACAAGAAGACGACGAAGGCATAGAGCGAAGCCGTCGATAACGATGATGGCCATAAAACGTCACCCACCGAGAATCAATTGCGCCCGCGCATCGCCGCTCGCCTCTGCTCGAGGCTGACCTCGAGACACACAACGCTCTTCGCTTACAGCTCACGCGTATCGAGTTGCAATATCGCCGAGTGCTTCGTCGGCAGCCCCACCGCACAATGGATGCATATCTCTCTCGGGCCGAGAGAGAAAGGGCGAGCGGCAAAAAGCTACGAGCCTCGCGGAAAAGGAAATATTGCGAGGGATTATCTCGGGAGGTCGATGGGTCAAGCGTCGAGGTTAGTTCTTTTCCTTTTTATCTCTATACACTCGAGCTCAACAAATATTATAAATGAAGGCGTTACGTTCGAAGCGGGCCGCCGACTTGAATTTCGGAAATTGCAATTTGTGCGTTCGTCGTTTCATGCAGAGCCTTCAATCGCAATGATTAGCGTACCATTGTCTTGGCAATCAGCGAGATCACTTGGCATTAGTCCCCCTCTGTACGTTCTCGTACCGAAATAATATCCTCTAGTTAGTAGGCACTCAACGTGTGACGAATTCGCACAGTTCTAGGAATAATGTGCGAGGCAGCGAACGCGACAGGGACATTCTTCGCGCGGAGCAATCCCAAAAACGCAGAAGAGATGCTCGGCTGGAAGTAAACATTCAAGAGCACTTCGGCGGAATGAAACTCCATTCAGTGCCAAAGTCGCAGATCTCTCCGTGAGTTTTCGCGGGAAGAAAAAAAAACTAAATGCCCGCGCGCCCCCGCCCTTCGCGTGCGATAATGTCAGTCGGCGCGATAAGAAGTGCGAGAGGGGAGGCGGCAAACGAGCGAATCATTAGCGCGAGGGCCATTACTTCGCCGCTACTTTGTTCTCTCTATCTTGCCGGTCCACTCGTTACTCTCGCTCGCTGCACTTTATATTTCAATATGGCTTTTTTGTTCTGCGCCCGCGAGCCACTGCCCAGAGCCAACTCTACTTGGACTTTTTTGCGCCATTTAGTCTGATGATACATACGTACGTCTGGTATTTTATTTCGCTCGTTATTTTTAATTTTGCGCTTGACAGCATATTTTGGAGAAAACGCGGCTCCTAGTTGTTTTCTTCGTTTTTCGACAATAAAATTTTTATGGGTACCCGAATAAAATTGACGGCTGGCATTGCGTCGCGCGTTCTGAATTTTGGATGGGACAGCCGAGGAGGTAAAGCGTTTTCTTATTTTTCTGCGTATTACTTTGGTACGTGCGCAAGTGGCGTTTTTGCTGGCTAAAAAAAAAAGCCTTCCGTACCGTTTTACAACGGTGTTTATAGCAGTGCTTTATTCCACATTTCGTGAGCGCCACTTCGCGCTCCGTTCGCTGCGCAATTCCCTTTTAGTTTTTCAATTTGGGCACGCGCAGACGTATGTAAAGGGAAAGTTGAGCATTCGATTTCATTAGGAAAAGTCTGATATATATTCGCGCACACCGGTAAGTAAGGAATAAAGCCAAGTAACTTTCGTGGTAACATCATGAAACCGTCGCTGACAAGTATTGGGAGAAAAAAGTAGGCGAGTCGCGCGGGTGCGACCA